GTATTCTCATTCCCGGATTTGTGGCTTTGAAAATATTGGCAGCCACAGTTTGTAAAGTGCCAACTTGCTGGCACACCCTATCCTCTGGGCACTGGAAGAAGATAGCCCCTGGTCACCTCTGGAACTCCGCCCACCCACTCATCTCCCAAAAGAGCCGCATTATATCATATAGTCTGGGTTTAGTCAGGGCACACAGAACCACAGTGAGTTGGAAAGTGAGGGGGTTTCTTTTAGGAATTAGACCTTGCATAATTATAAGGGGAGCTGGGGAAGTGAAGGGTGGGTTGGAGAATCAGAGCTGACACCCACCAGTCAATCTGAGAAGCCAAGCAATTCCTCTTTTGGTCAGCTCAAAAGCACAACCATCACATAACAGGGTTTTTGTTTGTGAAATGCTCTGGCTTAAACATCTTGATACAGTATAAATCACTACAGGTAGGAGCCTAGAATAGAAACAGTTGTCACGCCTTGGAAGTAATGTTTCTGAAGCTCTGTTCTCATTTGTCATGAACAATCTGGAATCAGCCTGTTTCACCACAAAGGTGTGATAGCTTCTGTATGATGGAACTCTGGAGTGTGATCTGGAATCAGCACAGCTTCATTGCCAGACAGATCTGCATGTACACGCTGGCTTTGCATCCTTACTGTGTGACTGGGACACCCTCCTTATGCTGAGATTAGCTTCCTTATTTGTAAAATGAGACCAAGAGTAACTACCTCATAATATTGTTTTGAAGTAGGAATAGTAGATGTGAATGAAAATAATTCCTTTTATCTCTCAAGTTCCACCCTTTCCCCTAGTACTTATAGGACATGTCCTGTTTCTCAGAATATTTCCATGTAGAAATGCTCATATTATCTAAGTAATGCATTTTGATTATGAATATAGGTATATAATTTATATTCAGCATTCTTGGCATTCTGTCATTGTTTCAGATTCCCAGGATCAACAAGTTTGGATTTGTATGGAGGATGAGAAAGACCATTCATTGGCAAGGGAAACACAGGAGATGAAACTCAGGGTCTTTAACCCACAAGAGAGAAAAGAATACTCCTGAAGTAGTTAGAAATCTATTGACTTGAAATGGTTTATAAAAACAAGTGTGGTGATATAAGTTCCGTGGAATCCTTCAGTTTTCCTGGCTTAGAAGAGAGATTGATCCTGAGAAAAGAGGCAGGTTGAAGCTGTTACCGAAGTTAGAGATAGAAAACCATAAAAACGTAACTTGAAAAGCATAATAATTCTGGAGCCGATCATTTTAGGAAGATAGAGACCTAACATTTAATAGCCCCCAAGGGCATTACTATATAATAGATGGTCTAAATTGTTTGTTGAACTTAAATTTAACAAAATGATAGTGCTTATGAGTTTCCGAAACATGGAAGAAAAATGTTCAGTTATATTCAAAGTACTGTATTTAGGAATCTACGGAGCTGTATTAACATTTTTAAAAGATTTAAATCAATAGCAACCATAGGAATGTTTTCATTTGGGACAAACTTCTAGAACATTCACACACAATCTTTTCTTATCCAAACTAGGGTAATAGGCATTATTTTGCATAACACAGTGTTAAACATATGGTAAAAATGGAATAATTATTAATTAAATAGAATTCAACATACATCTGCACCTAACTCATGGAATATGGAAGATTCTCTTGAAGGCTTTCAAAAATACAGTTAATTGCTTGATTGTTGGACACTGATAAGATATTCCCTACCTGTATTTTTCTATAAAATGTTGATAATCATGACAAGTCCTCATTTAGTTACTGGTTTGATTGAAACAAGTAATTGACCTGAATGCACTCAAATAGGACATCGAGATATAAAATCACTTGTTTAAAAGTTGACCAAAAGGTTTTGATACTTTTTTTTCAACCTAAAATAATGATACTTTTCCATCCAGCTTATCTCTTAAAGGCCCTCAAGGTTTGAAAACGACCAGTCAGTGACAAATACTGTAAAGAATCTGCAGTCAACCCGCACTCTTCTATGTAATTAATAGGATTGCTTAGACAGCTTATCTGCTTAAGTTCTGAAAATCTCTTTATCCTTTGTCTGCAGGAACACTAATCACTTGAAACGGACAAGGCTGAAGGAACTTGTTTTAAAGCCAGGTCTAGAATTTTTTTTTGGAACAAATTCTATTGCTCTAGTCTCCTGGTTTCCTTACATCTCCTTTCAATTATTTCCCTTTCAGGCATTATACAACTAGCACTTTGTATTCACTTGAAGGTAGGTGAGTTGCTTGCATTTTCTGGTGAGATAAGCATTTCTTAAGGCCTTATCTATTTACTCTTTGACCAGGCCTAGAGAACAGAGAACTAACGGCTCTGGGAATAATCAGGAAGCCTTGGCTCTGGGTTTCCTTCTGTGATTTGGTAAGAGTCCTTTGGGTACCAGGCACAGAAATGATTGGCAACTTTAAGCAAAGGAAAATTGGAAGGGGTGCAAAGGCCCACAGAATCAATGGGTGGCTGAAAATTGTGCTCGACCATGGCAGGTGCCATGGCCTTTCCAGAGGGTGGGAAGCAGGAATCCCAGCAAGTCTTACAGAGGGAACAGAATGGTGAGAAGGCTACTGCTGGGATGAAAGGGAACATTAAATTCCAGGGAGGTTGGCCTAGCCTGTATAAGAAGCCCACTGTTGTTAGGTAAGTGTGGGGTCCGCAGTTACAGTTCATTAGGCTCCATCCAGTAATTCCTTAAGAGGAAACCAGGAGGCAGTTTGGGAAAATAAATTGCATGCTGCCTAGATAACTTTTTCACTATTATGTTTCTGTTTGGAATTTTTAAAGTTGCTTCTAGCTTTAAAAATGAATGGATAGAGGTAGATGTCATGTATTCTCACAAAAAAATGGACAGTATTTCTCTCATGAAAGCCCTTGGGCTACCATGTCCCCATGTTTGTTTCTATGAATGCTTATAACACCAATGAACAATAATAAGACAAAGTGGAAGAAGACATTTATGAGCACTGGTGGGTTATTAGTTGTCCCACTAGTAATACTGTAGTGCTTCACTATATAATAGTAGTGGTTAGTTATCTATTGCTGCATAACAGTATTACTGTAAACTTAACACATTAAAACAACACAAATTTATTATCTCACAGTTTTTAATAGGTCAGTAGTCCAAGAATGCTATAGCTGGGTACTCTGCTCAGGGGTCTCATAATGCTGCAATCAAGGTGACTGTTAGGGTTGCAGTCTCATTTGAGGCCCGACTGGGGAAAGATCCACTTGCAGGCTCACTCAGGTTGTTGGCAGAATTTAGTTCCTTGGTAGTACTCAGGTTTTGTTTCTTGCTGATTGGCTGCAAGGTGCCGTCAGCACCAACAGGCTGCCCACAGTTCCTGGCCATGTTGGGTTTCTCAACATGGCCAGCTGGACTCCTGAAAGCCAACAAGGGAGCGAGGCTCCAGCAAGACATGCAGTCTAATCTTATGTAATACAAACATAATCATGTACATATAATCATACACCCCATCAACTTTACTGTATCCTACTGGTTAGAAGGAAGTCAGGCCCTTCCCACACTCAGCGGGTAGGGAATCACACAAAAGCATTAACACCAGGAGCTGGAGGTTATGGACAATGTTATGAATCTGACAGTGGTATAACTGAGTGGGACAATCTCCAGAGCTGTCTTACGTCTAACATACCTTATGCTTTCTGTGTATCTGATTTCTCTAAACCTTAGTCCTTGGGAGGTACTTCATGTGGAGATCAGATCAGGGGGGCAGAACAAAATCTTGGCCCCCAGTCTCTAGCTCAGCTATAGGGGAGGGGGAAGGGATATAAGGCGCTTCACCTCAGAGCTACTGCAACTGTGTCTGAGTTGATGTTTATTTGTGATCAACTGAATCTAGTAGCCTCCACTGAACTGTTTGTCTGTATTTGCCAACTTACCTGAAATAGACAGCAATGCTTTCTTCATTTATTCATGTGTACATACTGTCCTCCTAACTATATTAGAGGTACTTTATATCAGGAACCATACATATGTCCTCCAAGTAGGATCAAAGCAAAGGCAGGGAGAGATACTTTGGAAGAAATAACTAATATAGGTTCTTTAGTGGAACAAAAAGAGACATCTATAGGTCAGTGTGAAAATCTGCCCTTAGTTGTACAAACAGAACATGTGTATTTGAAAGTGATGACTTTATAAATGCTCAGACTACCCTGGAATGATGTGCCTGGTTCCTACTAGAGCTGGTGGGCATGCATCAGGAGGCAGAGAGTTAGAGAAGGCCAGTGGACATGGTTGAGTTCTTGCATACACTAGCAGTGTTATTCTGGATTTACCATTGAAGTCTCTGTGAGCCTCAGTGACCTTAGTCCTAGCTTGTAGAAATAATACTTTTAAAATGGATAGCTCAGTGCCTGCCTGACATATAGTAAACTTGTAGGAAACAGATATTATGGTGATCCTTTACGACCCTGACCAGAAAAGGCACATGTTCATTCTCAAGGTGCAGTTTGTCCCATGACAAGAGGGTTGAAGAGATGCACACTTAACACATGGCAGCGTGTTCCTTCTTTTGGAGCTCATGGGGGTTTAGTGTGGTGGTTCCTTGAGTGTGGAGGAAATGAGAATCCTTATTGCTTATTTCTCATCCCTGGAGCTAGGCCGTTTAGAAAATGTGACAAGGCCTCTGTAGGCAGCAGAAGGCTTAGGGTGGATGCTGACTGTCCTCGGGCAGGGAGAGAGCACCCCAGCTCCATCTTTCATGTTTAATACCCCAGGGTGTGATAGAAAGCACATGGTACTTAGCTGGGTATCCTTGCCAAGCAATAGCCTCTCCAAAGCCATTTTCACTTCTGTAAAAATGGAGTCATTTTGAGGATCAAAAGGAAGAATGTAGGAACATTTTGTAAACTTTACATATTGAAAGAAACCCAGATTCTCCTTACCAAGAATTTATCTCTGAGGTTAAATAAATTCTCATTTTCTCCCAACAGTGTCCTAACTGGACAAATGAAAATGTTAAATACATTTTAGAAAAGTTTTAATTTGAACAATTTATGATTAAAAATACAGTTTATAAATAATTTTTCCATAGACTTGATTGAGGATTGCTGTGAACTTTACAAAGACATACTGCAACAACAGATTTAAGAAATTATAAAAAATATAGCTATAGCCCTCCTATTTAAAAATACATTATACATCACAGCGTTTTCTTTGTGCAAAGTTAGAGAATGCTGCATTGGGCCTGTCACATATTCACTCAGAGAAGTAAACTTTAGTATGGTTCCTTTGCATAACAGAATAGGAACAGCTGAAACAATGAATCCTTTCCCTGTAGAGTTAATATAACTTAGTTCAATATTTTACTTTTATTTTATAGGATTGATGGCTGAACCTAGCTTATACAGATAAAATGTATGTGTGTGTATAAGTACCAAATAAGTATTTGATTTGAAATTAAGTAAACCCCAAAGTATTTACAGTATTTTCAGAGAATGTGTTCTACAGATCAGTCTGAGTACATCTTCCCTGTTATGCAACTCTATCTGTCAATTAATGGACATCCTCTGTTGAGACTTCCAGTTTTCGCTGTGGGACAAAGAGAGATCCTGTGGAGGTTTGATTAGCACCATCGAAGTCCATGTAGGATGAGCCCATTGGCTTCATTGGTCCACTTGGGGTACGGAAGAAACTTTCGGCCACTAATTGTGACCCTTTGGGTGTCACAGGAACAGGCTGATTAGAAAGACAGGAATAGAAAACAGAAGTCAAATCCACACAGTAAGTATGCCCTGGCAGCCCTAGAAGACGAGATGGAAGGATGTGTCACATGATGGGAGCCTACCATACTTTGAATTTGAATAGATAAAAGCCTGGGTAAGTTTTACATTCTTAATTAGTTTGGTTAAGTTGAGGCAGAAAGCTCATAACCCAATAATATGGACTCCCTGGGCACTCTTCCTGGGTTCAGAAGGAAGGCAGGCCTTCAACCTCCCCACTCTCCCATCCTTCCCCTCTCCAAAGAAGAAAAGCAAAAGCCAGTCTCCCATGATGCGGACATTTGGGACTTAATTACTCGAGGCACAAATAAATGAAATGGAAATACTCTCACCTGTTGTGTTCCTGTCATAGCAACTGATTGTCCACTCAGTTGGTTCTGGCCTGGGACTGGTGAGTCATGCCTGGTGGCCCTTCCTTGCTGAGTGCCTGCATTTTCTGGTAGGACACTAACAGCCTCTATTCTTGGCGACAGGGGAACAGTTCCAGGCCCAGGACTGGCAGACACCTGCACACTGGGCGTGATGAGTCCCAGGTGCTGCAGGGTGAAGTTGACAATGGCTGAGCTGGGGTTCTGGATGGGAATGGGGTGGCTTGAAGTGAGAGCTGGGCTGTTCCTGACAGGTACAGCTGCCACAGAAGTTGGTGAGACCATTAGCTTCAAAGGTGTCACATGAAAAGAGGGAAAATTAACAGCAGTAAGTTCGGATGATGTCACAGGAATAACACCTGTAAAGAAAAAGGTGGAGAATATCTTAAAGGCACAGGCATTTGTCTGAGAAGCTTACAAGCTAAAGGAGACTTGAGACGGACCTGTGCTGGCCTGGTGTTTTGTGTACACTCACCTGTGATTGGGGAGCTGTAGATCCTGTGGTTTGGGGAAAGTGTACCTGTGTTTTCTTTAGTAGACAAAATGGACTCTGCCCCCAGGGATGAGCACTGGGTGAGAGGAATTAGGTATCCTGATGGGAACAAGGTCTAGAAAACAAGGAGGGTTTATTTTACACACAAATATAGGAAGAAAAATGGCCATGTGCCTCTTCGAGGACTAATAACCCTTGTGGTCTCATCAGACCAAAGCCTCCAATGGTATGGGCTATGGGTGGGCCGGCTACATGGCTCCTCAAAGACAATATCCCTTCCTCCCATCCCGACGCTTGTCCTGAATAATACAAGCCATGTGGTTATTGAATGCCATCCGCGGATTTGGGAAGTGTACTAAAGCTAGCACTGAGCCTGCCTAGGGGTAGGAATCCCCCAGCAACCCTCTCACAGTGACTTCCTAGGTCTTATTCTCAGACGTTTTGGATTGATGTGGTGCTGTCGGAACCAAGTTAATGCAGTTGGATACATAATGGCACTGCTGTGTTACTATCCAATTGTTCTTGAAATACATAGGATGGTTATTTCCCAACAGTATTCTGGGGACCCCAGTTCCAAGGGATGCCAGTGACACTACTTTAATCATGGTCAAATGTTTGGGAAATGCTGAATTAAACAAAGGCAATTGGTGTCTTCATCAGAAAATTTCTGGGGTACTTTAATGATGGCATGTCTTGTAAATCTCCAAGGGGCCTAACCAGCAGGTAGCATTTCTCAGACCATTTGGCAACTACATTTTTGTAGTATTGGTATTCCAAGACAACATTTTTAAGAAATGTTTATTTAGAGAAGGGGCCAAGATAGAGATTTTGGCCAAACCATGGACTAAAATGCAGCCTCCTGGCTTTTTTGTAAAAAAAAAAATTATATTGGGACACAGCCATTGCTCATTCATTTACGTATTGTCTATAGTTGCTTTCCTATATATATATATATATATTACAATGGCAGAGTTGAATCAGTGTAGTAGGGACCATATGGCCCACAAAGCCAAAAATATTTACTATCTAGTCCTTTATAGAAAAATCTTGCTGACCCCTAACTTACAACAAAGGAATTATACAACTAAAGATTTTTTTCTAGTATGTTAGGTTCTCACACTCTTACAATATACAAACTAAAGGGCAGGACACCAGAGTTAAAAGCTATAGGAAGAAAATAACTGATTAGTTCATATGAGAGACCTAACCATCAGGGAGCAAAAACTTTAGTCAATTCAGTTATATCCCCAAACAGATATGGCCAGTGTGTTGGGTTGTGTGTATCCCCCACCAGGCCTGCTAGATCATTGTACTGCACAAAAGAGAAAACCTATATGGGTGACTAAACTGCCTGAAAAGTCTGCTTCAGGTTTACCATGAGCAGGACTGGCAAAAGCTAAAAACAACTCTTGTAAACTGGGACCCCTCCTTTTGTCTCCCTCCAGATCTTTCTTCCTGCCCGTGTCAAAACAACAGTCTAAGCTTTGATGTAGGTCCTGTCTTTCCTTTGGGAACCGGTGAATTCAGAATCCACAAAGCTAAGTAACTTTTCATTTTGTTTCTTAGATGCTTGGTGCTGTTCTGTATTTTTACTAATAGGTTTCTTGAGCTGCAGGAATAGAATTTTTGACAGGTGGATTTAGTTGTTTTACAGATAGCTGCTCTTTGCTCCCGATCATACTTTCTTGTGGTACAAGTTATTCTGGTTGCTGGTTTAATTCTTTCAAATCTTCAGCAAAACCTAGAGTATGCTAACAATTATTTTTTAATGTTATGCAAACTACATTCATTACAAAACCTTTAATGCCAATTTCTTTTTTAAAAAGAATTAGAACTTAAATTAGGAGGATTAATGAATGTGACATACTTCAACTTGCATGTCATCTCACGTAGTCTGTATTAGCCCTTTTACTGCCTCTTCCTATTATATCATTCTGTTTAATTTTCACTATAGTTCTTATCATTCACTACCTGATGTTTGTGTTTATTTATATACTGTCTTCTCCTCTATCCCCAGAAGTGTAGATTCACAGTAAATGCTGTTCGGTGAATGACCATGAATCTCTCATTTTCTTTGTTCTGCTCAGTCCATGCTAAAAAGAAATGGTCAAATGAAGTCATAGAGATGCAAAAAGAAGCAGGGGTACATGGAAAATCTATCCCCTGAAAACCCTAATCCTGAATAACTGAGCAACAGGAGACCATCATTAAATCATACCCATTGGTCCAAAGAGATTATGGACCTCCCAGAAAATCAAATTAAGCCAAAGCCTGTGATTTTCCCCTTAGCAGGTATGTTAAATACAAAATGATACTATGCTAAGATAATAGATGTTTTGAAGGTTACCATGAGGCCATCCAGATTTGACACACTCCAAAGCCTCCTTAATAACAACAGTTACAGATAGTACCCTTCAGGTCTTGTGGTGCCTTAAAAGGATCACAAACCCTGTATCATCATGTAATAAATTCACCTAGTTTCACAAAAACTGTAATATGGACTTGGGGCAGGTCCTCAAAAGCATCAGCACCAAACGCAGGTACTATCTGATTTGATCTGAGCACAGTGCTTCACACCTAGTAGTATGTGATCAGGAAAAAAACTAGTGGAACAAATTCTTTATACACATGGAAAAATAACTTGAGTTAACAGAAGGGACAAAATGAGAGGTTAACTTCTGCCTCTGTGTTTAGTGATGTTTATTCAGTGATAATGTCTTTCCTATATAGTTGTCCTAAGGGAGGAAAATGAGATAATGTATGTAAAAGTGCCTAATACTTCTAATATCTGGTGTGTGTGGGCATCCAATAATGTTAATTCCTTCTGGAACTAAATTCCACCTAGGAAAAAAATGTCTAGAACATCAAAATCCCTAGAAACCAGTCTATCAATATACCTATAATTTGCGGTGGTAAGTATGATTTTTCTATTTACACAAAAAAGAAATTCTGGTTTAAATTTTAGGTAGAAAGTAAAAACAGGGGGATGATTTATCTTTTAGGCAACAGGTACCAGTCACATGATATCAAACAAACATGACTCAGAAAGCCAGAGTTACAGGAACCCTGTGTGCATCCATTCATTTGTGGTTACGTCTGCTTGTAAATTTTTTAATGCTGTCACGACAGGTGTTTGCATTCCAGCTTGTGAAAGAGAAATGGACTTACAACCACCCATGGTGCTTTAAAAAGAGAGCAAATAATCCTTTCCTCCTAAGGTTAAAAATGTCCCTGCCGTCACCTCAGTCTGGGGATTAGCTGTCTGGGGCCTTGTTTGGATTATGGGATGCTAAGGAACAGTTCCTTATCTTCTGAGAGACTGCTCTTTGCTCTGGTTCATTTCACAAGCCACTAAATTCTCCTCTCATCAACTGGGGAATTAATTCCTACAGCTTTGCACAGTTCAAGGCTGTACTTACTGCGGATACATTTTCAACTCCTTTGAGGCCCTCTTTAAATTTCTTTTTGGAACTGCTCTCCTCAAATGTGCTTGCCCTCTTTGAACCTCTTTCTCCAGCAGGTTCCCAGTCTCGGTTCTTTGCACCTTGTCTTTCCAGCAAGCTTCCAGGCCAGGTGGGGGCACTGGACTTTGCAGCATCATTGGCTGCCTTCTCGGTGGTGGCCTCTGTGGAGTCTTTCGATGTTGTGGCTTTAGAAGAGGGGGTGAGGCAGACTGTTGGGCTCAGGCCTTGGGGCGGTGTCATGGTTTGGGCTTGGGCAGGCTGCAAGTAGATGGCATAGGATGGGCCAGAAGGGGCCTGAGGTAGGATCACAGGCACTGCTGATGACAAGGGGCTGGGGATCAGTGGCACCATGCCCAGGGGCTGGATGAGGGACGGTCTCATCAGCTCCCACTCAGCATTTGCTGGGGATTCCAGAGGGTCCGCTGCTTTGCTAGGCCTAGACCTTGCTAGCTGTACTTTCACTTTCTGTTTGGGCTCACTGAAAGACAAGATTTAAAACATGACATGATAGAAACACATTTTCCCTAAGTGTTCTAGCACTTTAGATTGCTCCAGATTAGAACCATGCTTTTATGAAACTAGCAGATAGTTCCTGTAATGATTGCACAAGTTATAAAAAAGATTATCTCAAGGCTATTGCCTGTTCTTACATAAAATAAGTAATCCTAATGATGTAATGGAAAAGTAATTCATTCTGTTACTAAAGAGCATTGCCAACCTACCTTGATTGCTCTTCTAACTGCATTTTGCAAATAGCTGCAAGCTGAGCCATTTTACTTGGGAAGGGTGTAGAATTCTGAGAACTCTCAGCTGGTAAAAGAAAGGGAGGGGGCTGGTCAAAGCAAAAGAATAAATGCTCATACAGATGAAGCATCACTGAAGTCAAAAGGACAGACAACATGTACCTTCCCCCCAAATCACATAACTTATCACACAGCAATTAAATGATAAACCCCACAAATTACTTTTTACCCTTTAATTCATGCATAAGTTAGGTTTCAAGTGAGTTTGGGTATATGGATATTAAAACAATTCTCTTACAAGTACCTTAGGGATTAAGTAAGCTAAAAAAACACAAAAAACAGATAAGAAAGAATTCTTAGCAGAGCCTGACATGATTAAAAACATACCTTTGTTAGTCTTGACAGGGCTGCTGGGAGCAGAATTTATCTTTCTCCGATCACTCTCTATGCTCTTTACCAATTTGATAAGAGAAGGGTGTCGAGTAAAGTTTGGTTTCCCACGTGTGGAAAAGAGGTTTTTGGCACAGTTCTCTTTTGAAGACTGCTTGACTTCCAAATCAGAGGGGGAGAAAGGAATGACTGGGCTGAGACCTGAAAGAGAAGAGGGCAGTGTATTGAAACAAGGTGGTTTGGCTTCTTCTTGAAATATGACATCAAAATGTAGAGTTCTAAAAGGGTTTTAGGAATTCAAGTGCCAACAATATAGAACAGTGACTATGGGCCAGACATTGTTTTAAGGACTTTATACACAAAACCTTGTCTATCTTATTAAATGAATTCTGAGATAAGATTTCATACTTAAAACATCTCTGAAACCCACTGTATCTTCAAACTAGTGGTATGCAGTGTAATTGTTACTGGATTTTCTTTTTTTCCGACATAAAAAATTATGCTTTTTCTGACAAAATAATATTTTATAATCAGTGGAGTCTTAATCTGATGAAATATGGTGACCCTCCCTGCATGGACTGAATATTTGTGTCTCCCCAAAATTCATGTATTGAAACCAAATGGCCAGTGTGATGGTATTAGGAGGTGGGGCCTCAGGGAGGTGCTTAGGTCATGAGGGCAGAGCCGTCTTGAATAGGATTAGCCCTCTTATAAAAGAAACTCCACAGAGCTCCCTAGTCTCCTTCCACCATGTGAGACGTCTAGAAGGCAGGATCTCACCAGATACCAATCCTGCTGGCACCATGATCTTGGACTTCCCAGCCTCCAGATCTGTGAGAAATAAACTTGTTGTTTATAGCCACCCAGTGTATGGTATTCTGTTGTAGCAGCCTGAATAGACTACGATAATTTAAACAACTGAACCAGATAGGTGCTTCTCAGGAAATGAATCCTTGTTTCAGAGACATTAAGTGACTGACTCACAGTCTCTCAACTAGTATAATGCGGGCCTGGGATATGAACCCAATCAGTCTGCCCCCTGGGGCCTGCACTCTGGCTCCCTACACCCAAAGACCTCTCTCTGAGATTACATCCCAAATCATAATAGCCTTGCAAAAGTGCCACTGTTCTTCCCATTCTGCAGGTGAAAAAACTGAACCTTGGAGAAGTAATTTGCCCACGGTTACCCAGCTAATAAGTAGCAGAGCTGGGTCTGGCACCTAAGTCTCCCTCTGCCTCCATGGCTCACGTTCTTGCCGTTTTCCAACATTTCAATGTGGAGATCTTTGGAGGAATGTGAAATGTCAGAATCCCAGAGTTGAGATGGAGACTAGAATACTCATACTAAAATAGATGAATTTCATATTCTCAACTTCCATAGGCTCTGTTATGGTCAATGAACACCATAATAGTAATAGCAATGGTATCCTATGTTTTGGGATACTTTCAACTTTTTCCAGTCTTTTCACATACAGATTCTACCTCTTGGGGGCAGTGGGAGGTGGTTATGAACCATGGGTTCCTGATGGAGCCAGTAGCCAAACTTTCCATATTGGCACTCATCTTTGTCTTTTTAACAATTTATATTTGTTCTTTCCATGGGGGGGAGTTGGGTAGGAACTGGAAGGGAGGATATTTCCAAATATGCATTAATTCAAAACAATGAAGCAAAGAATGAAACCAATACATACCACTGGGATTTAGACTGATTTCTGGGCCTGTCCATTTAAAAGCTGGTTTTCGGCCCCTTTCTTCTGTAACATGAACTTTCTTGATAAGATCTAAGCTACTCAGAATGTTAGCTATATCATACAACCTCCTAATTTTTGCTGGAAAAAAAAAAGTATATACATCACTTAATGGAATAATGAAAGATCAAAGGACTTTGCTTTACAAGGACTTTATATATATTCAGAGAGCTATCCTAACCATCAATGCCAGACAGCAAAAAAAGTGACTCTTTTTAGGTTATTCTAGTGATACTGTTTTAATTAAAACAAAAAAAGTTTTAAATATTGAAAAGACTCAGTTACTTCTGCTACTGAATTTTGAAATGACAAACGCACATGTTGAAAAAGGAAAAATGACTTTAATGACATTACCCTCCTAGGAACTATGTTACAGATTTTTTTAATGAAAAGTCACCATTGCTGAGCATCTTCTAAAGAGGATTCAAAAGAATTTTATGAACAAATAGAAATAAAGTATCAATGATAAATGTATTGCTTTCCTGTTTGTGATAACAATAAGATTTATTTAATATCATAAGCATGGAAAATTCTATACTCCATCAACATTTATGTTTTTATATTGCCCTTATGTAATACGCAAGCATAGATTTGCTGATTCTATAAATCTTCACATATCCTGAAAGGTTACAAAAGGTTACTTTTTGTTAGAAAAAGTCTGCCTTTACTTCCAGCTTGATAGTATAAAATTATAAATTGAGCCCCTTTATAGCTTTGCCAGAAGGATTTCCGGGATTCAGCAAATTCCATATATGCAGTTCCGGAATAGTTTCCAAGGCTGTGACTTGGAGAGCTGAAAACTGTCTGGTGACGCAGAAAAAGCAGGCCACCCACCAGTAGTACCAGGACATGTTTTCTGAAATTGCAGATCTCTTAAGTCAATTGTCAGCATTATTACCTTTACTTAATTTTGTCTTTACTGAGACACTGTCAACCAGGGAATGTCTAATATACTTTCATGGGACTAGTTTTACAGGGACAGAGTCTGTGTGACAGCTCCCAGATGTTCCCTGTTGTGTGAAGTGCTGTTCCTCACCATACAGCCAGGTCCCACCAGTGTCCCATGTTAGGCTAGCCTCAGGCCCTACTTGGAGGTTTCCAAATCCCCCAGAACAGATGGGTGTGCAGCAGGCCCCTCCCCACCTGCTTCTTTCCACACTCTGCTTCTCTTGATGGAGGTTCCTGCAAAGTCTGACATAGAGACAAGGGCAGGGCTGTGTCAGGAATCAAATCCAACTTACAGTCCCTGCCAACTGCAAGGAGGTATTCTGGCTAAAAGCATTCTTTCAAAATGGCAAACCAAATGTGCCACAGGTCACTTCTGGTGACAATCTTAGAAGAGCTATTTGTGCCCTCACATATGAGAGTCAATGGGAAGAGTAGAGGCTTGGATTCCAGTCTCACTTTGTAACTTACTGCTCATTTTGTCTTCATGCACTTGTAATATGGGGACAATGTTATAGTATCAAATGAGGTAACTTTTAAGGTACTGTTTATATGCCAAAGTGTCAGACAAATAATAGTTCTGTACTTGTTTTTGCAACTTACAAATTAGCTAAAGCAGTATGATCATGGCTTCTGGGGAGAAGTGAAGATACAAAAGCATAATCAGGGAACATCTGTTCATATAGCAAATGTATCCAGAAATCAATTTATAACTGAGATGTTACTGTTTAAGAATGGGTCCAAAAGTCCACAGCATCATGATACTTACTTTTAAACTTGCTTTTATTCAAGTCTTCCACCTGGTCCTCCCCAATTAAAATCTTGGCAGCAATTTCTAGGCTCACTATCTGAGGCGATGACACCAAAAACAGCATCACAAATTTCTGGCTCATCACTCTTAAAGACTTGTCTTTGCGGCTGTTTACAGAAGCTTTGGAGAAGGATGAGGATTAGAGAATTAAAATTCATGAAGGGACAAGTGACTTCTAAAGTAACAAGGCTAAAAATACTACAACCTGATCATACAGTTGACAGCTGCAGCATTTTAATATGCTCCAAAGGCAACAGTAGCTTTAGATAGTGTTCCTCAAGGACACTTTTCTTTTGACCTGTAAGAAGTGCCCTGCAGCCTGGGCTTTTCAATACCATCTCTTACCTGCCCGAAATTCCACTCCAGGGAGTTCGACAAAACACACGTCTGGGTGTCCATTTTGGCCAGTGTTTGACTTGATGATATGATCCTCTATACTGTAACTCTTACTAAAGTCAAACTCTTGTTCATGTTCTTTTTTTTTGATCATCATAATCTGCTCGGCATATTTGTTCTCCTCCCCGACGCTTTTCAAAGTCCCAAGGGTTTTGTTGAGATTATGTCGGCCATGCCAAGTATACCTGTTTTTGGCGAGGCGGCTCACCATGTGTAAACTCTCCAGGACATTCACAATATCATAAATGCGTCGACGCTCAACATCTACAAACAGTGAGCAATTCCATGTTACTAGGATCAGATTTGGAAATGTGTATAGAATTGAGTAACTTTTTTTCCCATGGTTTATTAATCAGTAGATTCTGGATGATAAAATTTTCTTTACACTTAACAAAGAGTGTGAAGATGAGAAAGGCACACCTCTGCTCTCAAAGGGTACAAATAATGCAAATATGAATTAGAGAGGTGACATTTATTAGGGCCTACTATGTGCCATGCAGTTTTAGGAAATTTTTAAGAAACTTGTAAGTTTAATATTATCCACACTTGAAAGATGAGGAAACAGAGGCTCAGGCCAGCTAAGTAGCTCATCCAAGGCACAGAGCCTGTAAATGGCCAAACCAAGTCTTTAAAACTCTAAATCCCACACTTTAGAACCCATTTCTTACATTACTCCCAAACACACACACACACACACATACACACACATACACATCATATGATAAGTACAAGGTACTGAGATCTCTTTCTGTTCCTGGAACCTGCCAGAAATGCCCTTCTGAAGGCTTCTATATTGGGCTGTTCTTCTGCTTGGTTCCCTCTCCTAGATGTCCTCATAGCTCCCTGCCTCCATTCTTCCAAGTCCTTGCTGAGATATCACCTTCTCAACAAGACCTGATGTGACCACTTAATTTAAAATTGCAAAGCACGCCTCCAGCACTCCTGATTCCCCTTTACTGTTTCACATTTCCTTTTTCCTGTAGCATGGATTACCTTCTAATGTACATTGTAATTACTTAATTATTTACTATGCCCTTTCCACATTATCTACAGCCTCCACTAGACAGTAGGTTCCACAGGAGCAGGGATTTTTTTTTTTTTGTTCATTGATGTTATTCCAGGGTCCTACAACATTGCCTGGCACATAGTAGGTGATCAATAAGATACTTGCTGAGCTAAAGGTACAGCCTACATAGCTACCATTAAGTGTATGTAAATAGATGAATTAAGTGGCATATTTTTAAAATGTGAAAGGTGATCTTTCTAAACATATATTAGAAGGGCAAAACTTTCTTCATGAGGTGTGAACTATGTGTTAAAATATCCTGCAGCATCTCTTCAGTTTCAGATCATGTACCCCATATTTGTCATTGACCCTTTTTTAGCTGTAACTAGATTAGAGTCAATGAAGAGAGGAGTGAATGAGGGGGAGGGGGAACTCAGTAACTTTTGCTAAACATAAAACTCAGAAAACACATTGGTCCTCAGAATAGCACTGAATGGCAGGGAGCGCTTAAAGCCCTGCTCCCACTCACAGGAGCTAATCCTCATCATAAACAGTGAAGATACCACTCAGCAGCCTGGCTCTGCAAGGAGAGAGCCAAGACAAGACAAAAGCTCAAAGTTGTAGCTGTTGATGAAACAAGTCACGATACAATATTGCTCTCCTTTAAAGCATCAGAGCTTTTGAAATGCAGTCAGAAGCAATCTCCATTGTGATTTTTTACTTCTGCCTCAAGACTCACTGAAACTGGAAAGTATATGCCTTTATTCTTAAATTAATAAGGCTTTAGAGATTTATAATTCCATATGGCCTTATTTGTATCATTACAAAAACTGGCTGGGTAAGTATGGATCTGGGTAAGGAATAAGTCTATGAAGTCACTTTAGTTATTAACCATTTCAGTGAGTTCTTTGCATACTTACTCAGTTCCTCAGCTACTTCGTCAAGACAGATGTCATTATTCACAGCAGGGTTGGGATATTTAGGATAGCGTGCTAAGAACTTATGACACAATAATCCTAAACTTTTCTCTTTTCGACTTGGTTGGGATTTCTCATACTCATCTCCAGATAAGTGTTCCTACAAAGGAAGGCGTAAATAAAATGTTTTATTCTGAAGTAAAGCTTAACAGACTTATCAGGGGCCTTTGCTCCCAATGGCTAGCACTTAAACAGCATCAGTAGCTGCAAAATTTGGGGTGAAAGTGGGGAGCCAGTATGAACTGCTTGGCAGATCTGAAATGGAAGTCTGAACTGAAAATAAGTCAAAGGCTCAGAACTCCCAGGGCTGTTTGATGGGATCCAAACCTCTAGGTTACTCTGAAGAAGGTTGGTAACAGTCTGCAGGAGGTGATGCTTTATATCGCTGGCACTTCTGCAACAGCTAACCCCCCAGCCCCTCACCCCCAAGTCCCCCACCCTCTATGTAGCCCTCTGCAAACCTACATGCAAACAATCTTTGGCCTCAGGTAATCCATTTCTGTTGTCATATAACCCCCTTTTCTGATCTCTGTTTCGGATCTCAGGGCTCACAGCACTGATGAGCATTTTTAGGTTGGCTGTTGGTGTCCACGGTTCTCCCTGGGAGATTTCCTTGGGCTTGGTAGGTGTGGTTAAAGGGCCGAAGTCAGACTGAATCTCTGCCAACACTATATTTGCTGCACTGGATTCTTTCAGAGGTGTTTTCATTAGTCCCCTTTTATGTGGCTCAAAAAAGAGATTTTCCTGGTTTAAAACAAGTAAATGATTAAATTCACTGTAAAACAGGACTTATCAGATAGCTTTTGAATCTAGAAAGTGTACAATAAATAGAATACTGCTTAGAAAAAAATGCCTAATGAGTTATAAGTTGATTAAATTTGTAAATGTATTCTTATACATTTCTGGACACTGACCATTCTAATAGCTAGATTTCACATTTTTAATTTTTTCAATAAAACATAGACTTAAATTTTTCTTATGTCCCAAGAATTTTAAAAACACTTGGAGGGATAATTTTTTATTTTGAAAGAATTTTCAACTTAAGAGAAGAGTTGTAAAGATAGCATAGAAATTTTCCGTGTACCTTTCATGCAGCTTCACCTAAGAAGCCTGATAATTTTAAATGATCCAAAGCTCCTAGGGCTGACTTTACTCATGATACTGTAATAAGTAAAGACCTATGTGGCAGAAACCATGACCCATTCATCTGCAATGGCTGCATGCAGTGGGGGCTTAGTGAGACACAACTGATGTGGAAGAGTCAAAAGCCAAGGAGACAAGGGTGCAGGCAAGCTATGGTCATACTTGTTGGAAAAATCCAGTAGGAGCAAAATCCAGAGTGTCTGAAAGCAGGATTTCTAATTTCTAAGTCTGCTCTTTTAATATCTACCTCTTTCACTTTACAGACAGAAAAAATGGGGCCCAGAAAAATAAAATTAGTTACCCAAAGTCACAAAACTAGTTCCTAGAAGAGATAGGACTGCCACTGAGATGTAAGAGAGCAAATTAACAGCAGTTCATAAATAAGTCTTATGTGCTGACCCAAGAATGGGATTTTCCTAAAGACTGATGTCCTTTGCCTCAGAAGCAACAGCAATTTTCTTATTTGACTAACATCTAAACCTTTCAGAAATTTGTATATTTCATTTTTTTTAGCCAATCTGTATCTAAGCACCAATCAAGACACCCCAACTGACAATTCTTTTGTAATTTTACAAAATGTTTATCTCACAAACAGAATGTGGCCCCCATAGTTAGGGAAACTGGTGATTTGATAGAAAATTATTTTTAAAAGCAATCCAATCTTGAATCATGTCAATTGCCATTTCTGAATTTGTATTGTTCAAGAATTCTCAGAAATAGTGTAATGCAACTCAACAAATTTTGATTCTTAAAAATAACTTTTCCCCACTGAAATATCCTTTTTCATATAGTATATAAACAGAATTTTTAAAAGATGAATGCTGAATAGTGAGACAGATACATACTATATTCCTCCTCTTTTGTGAACTGTAATTTCATGTCTTCTCATACATTGCTGGGGGGAATATTCATTGTTAAGTCTTTTGAGAACCAATTTGAAAATAGCTATGAAAACTTTGAAAATATTCCAAAGAGAGAATATTCTATTAGGGTTCTCCAGAGAAACACAACTGATAGAATGCACAAATAAAGATTTATTTTAAGGAAAAAAAAATAATAACTTTTTTCTCTGCTTGTCTCTTTGAGACTTCCACCAAATCAATAAAAACTAGAACAATTACTTTAACTCTGGGCACTTCTGTCCCTTTTTAAAGGTTAAATTTCCCTTCCTTCTGGGTTTTTACAGGGCTAACTAAAAAGGATGTGGCATTAATAAGATAGTGGATATTGAAAAATTTTCTGGGGTTAAATCAGGATGGTAGTGCATTTAAAACTGCAAGGTTGAATACTGAAGTTAAAAAGTTACCTTTTCATTCTCCATTCTGTAAATTTCTCATACATTTAGAGTTTCTTTAAAGATGAAAAATCTGTGGAGTTCCTCCCAATATCCTGATGGTCTAAGTAGTTCAGTCAATTCTATTAAAAAGTTTAATATTCTTAAGGAAAAAAGGAAACAGAAGAAGTTAAAGAAAAATAAAACCAGGAGACCCAAAGAAAATTCCTTTATGGACACCGTGGGCCACTGAAACAAAGACAAACGAAAACGAACAAACTACATTTACATTTTATTCCCGGCCAGAGATAGCCGGATTGGGCAGAGAACTCAATCAAACGGCAGTAAATTCCTTCAGCAAACCCTCTGTCAGGAGGCTTCAAACCACAGAATTTACAGTGACAGCCGTCTCCCACCTTTAGAGAACGCAGGCCATTCTTCGGACCCCACCGAATGGACTGGCATGCTCCAGCACCCACCTGTTCACATATGCCCCGGCCCTGGTTCTGGCTAAGCAGACACGACTCCAAGCATCTGGAAGAAAGTCTGCATCCAGATGCCCGAATCGCTCCCTTGACATACACGTGCTCAGTAGTAAAGTCTTGGTAAATAGATTGGTAGGAAACTTCCAAATTCAGTCCTTAAGTTCCAAACGTGTTCTGGGCATTTAAAGAGCGCTTTATGATTAACACTTTTTTCCTTTTAAGATTTTCTTAAAGATGCAAGGCGCTGTGTATTCGCTATTCGGGTGGCCAGTTCACACCACGATTGCCAGACCTCACCATGGAAGGCTGCATTTGCTCAGGAGGGCAAACAGGTACAGTCCTCCAGCCGCCGCCAGCTCGCGCCCGGCGCACTTCCCCTTCCCCACCGGTCAACTGCCCCTCCCCCCGGACCAGTCCGCCTGCCGACCGCCCCGCGGTTCCCGGACAGCATCCCCGCGGTTTCCAGGGCAACGACTCCCGACCAATCAGAGAGCCGAATGCAGGTCTACGATTGGTTGGAGGCGCCAGGGGCGGGTCCGGACCTTCTGCCTTCGATTTAAAAATTTGGCGCGGAAAGCCCGACAGTGGCTGGCACCGCCCCGTAGCTGCGCGGGGCTTGAGCGCGGGCAAACCCGCGCCGGGAACCACAGCATCTCCGCCCCTCCCCCTCGTCCGCCCCCTCCTCTCTGCGCGGGAGCTCAGCTCCTCCCTCTACGGCCCCAGGCCGAGCGAGAGGTGAGAAACGGCCCCTGCCGCTGCCCTCCCGAGCCCTTTCCCGGTACCAGGCCGGCCGGGCGCCCGGTCCCTCTGCTTCTCGCTGACCTGTCAGTTCCCCACACGGTTGGAGCCGACGAGGGCTGAGCCCGGACTCCTCGGCACCTCTTCCCCTCTCAGGCTCTGGAGCCCGCGTGTCGGGCCATCAGCCTGTCCTTAAGCCGCGCCGAGGTGGGTGCCAGAGGGAAACGCCGGGACCGGGTCTGGCGGGCCGGCGGGCGGACAGAGGGAGCGTGACCGTCCAGGAGCACTGAAGTACCCGATTTGAAATTAACCCGCTCCCGGCGCGAGCTGATCCCGCGGGCTGGTAGAGCCGCTCCCCTCCCCCACGCCCGCTTTCCCGGTCTCGGACCCTGCTCGCCAATCGGAGCCTCCAGACAGGAGCTGGCGGCGAATCAGGGCGCAGGCTCCGCCCTCCTGTCCCGCCTCCAAGACAGAGTTAGGGGAAAGTTCAGCAACTTTTTTTTTTCAAACACCCCCTCCCCTTGCTCAAAGTTGGGGGAAGAAATTTGGCCCTTTCGGGGCGCGCGGGCTGAGACGCGGGCGCTCTGCGTTCCCCGGTCTGGGGCCGTCCCATCCCCTCCTCTACCCAAGATCCACTCACCTGTACTCTGTACCCCAGCGGGAAACAACCCCCTTCTACCCCTGGCATTATCATGCTGCTCACCATTTGCCCCATGGCTTCTAAAAGTCGATGTGTGGAGGGAGAAGCTTTGGCCCAAACTCGCTGGGCGCTGGGTCTTGGCCGAGACGTGAGAACTCAGGTGTGCGAGGAGAGGGAATAAGGCTGGAAGCCCGCCAGGCGTGTTCCGGGTGTCCGCCGTCTTTCCCCCCTTGATCTCCCGCCCGCCCCTCCCTTTCCCCTCCCTTTCCCCTCCCGGTGGTCTCGCGTTTCCCTCTTCCCGGTTTCCGAGCCGCGGGTAGCTTCTGCATGGAATATTGCAGGGTTCTAGATTAACAGTAAGATTGGGAGACGCTCTAATTCAACATCCTCGTTTTGCAGGCGGGGAAACCGAGGCTGGGGCTGCAGCACTGCCTTGCCTGTGCATGAATTGGTTTGCGCTGTGTTGGTTTGCCCCGCTCTTCTCTGCCTTAAAGCGTTTCCCTTTTTCTGGGGACCTATGCTGGAGTTTTGGGACCGCATGTATTGCCCAACCGCGCCTAGATCAGGGTGCCTATCTGTCGACTGTTTGGTTTGAGCTCTTCCTCCTCTTTTGAAATCTCACATTTCTAAACTCCAGCAAGGCCCGGGGCCAAGATCCTCAGGCCCATCTCATACTTATGGGTCAGTGAATCACCCAGAGCTGACTTGCAGCGCGGGACACTTAGATTCCTGGACGCGATAGAAGGACGGGGATGCTGGGATTCTGAGGCTGGGGTCGCCATACTGCAGTGACCGACGGCAGGGCCGGGGGTCCAGGTGGCAAGTGGTGGCTTTTTCCCCAGCGGAACGCGACCTCAGGGCGCACACGGTGGCCACCCCGAACGGTTGAGACGACGTGACCCTGTCTTCCCCTCACTGCTCGCCAGGGAGCGGCCCCGATGGGGCTTCAGGCTAGAATTGTACAAGAAGGCTCTTCCACCTGAAAGCTGGCTTTCCCTGCCATGCTGTGCAGAAGTGAGTGGCCACTTACAGGTTTCAAATTTAAAATAAAGCAAGGGTCCTTGAGAGGGCTCCACCACCACAGCGCTGAGCAGTTCTTGCTGAGCTCCAGTACACCTTTTTCTGGAGCAAGGTGTGGTTATAAGTGCATCAACAAAAGGGCAGTTGGTGCTTCTGCTTTAGCCTGTTTCACAAATTGTGTGCCCCCTGCACACCAATCCCCAGAGTTTATAGGAGTGTGTCTGTTTTGCTCTACCCAACTGACCTTTAGTTTGTACAGCCCAGGAGCCCTTTTGAAAGGTACTTAAAATTTTAAGAAGCAACCTGTTTGATTCCCATGTGTTCTGAAATGGTGACTAATGCATTCATATATGTGGTCTATAGGGACATTCATGTACCAGATATCTGAGAGCCAAGTACCTGTAAGGCAAATAATGCAAGGAGCAGCCCCTCTGGCAACACTGCACAGGTGGCATCTCATTTAAAACTCAGCACAGTTAATTGTGGGTTATGAAAGTGAAGGAGAGCATTTTAGAGTAAAACCCAAGGTGTCAGGGTAAGTGACAGGGCTGGGATTTGAAGCCAAGTCAGGTTTACTCCTGCAGGCTTTCCACTGAGAGGCATGTCCTCCACTGTGCTGTTGCTAGTTCTTACGCACTTCACGGAATAGGTGTGCCTCACTTTATAGAGAAGAACACTGAGGCACAGAAAGCTCTAAGTGATAGCCAAGTTAGTGGAGTCAGGACTGGAATATAGGTCTATCTGCTCCCATTCCACATAGCTCATTCTACCTCTGAAAGTTCCTATGAAAACAATGTCCTATGAAAACAGTGACACCTTAGGCCAGCCTTTAACCATCGAACCCTGCCCCAACATAACAAAATATAGAAAAAGTGGGATATGTAATTATCATGTTAAGTGACAATTGCCGTATCTTATTGAGGCATGTGGAATTGTAATCCATCTCACTGACTATGACAAGTGGCCTATTAAGAGTGAAATGATACAGTTTTGAAGGCTTTTAAGAACCCTTTCATGTTAAAGTAATAAAAAAAGAAAGAAAGCTGAAACAATTCTATTCAACATTGTATAGGGTGTTGATCTGGAATTCAACATGAGTGTAAAGGAATGATATAAGACTGGAAACTTTTAGGGTTGCTGTACAACCAAAAAAGGAAGGATCGGGGACAGGTGTGAAATCTTTTTTCTTATTTTCTCATCAAATGTGCTTTCTGGTTATTGGTTATGTAATCCAAGGGGCATATCCACACATTTGTTACTGGTCTTTTGCTGACCGTGTTGCAAAATCTGTGTTTCACTGAAGTTAGACCAGTTTTTCCACTTCATGCTGCCACCATTACAGCCTACACATCTTGGAGGGTGAGATGTGTCACGTCTCTGGCACTAAACAATGAAAAAGATATAGGGCGGGGTGGTGGTGGTGTATCATCTGAGGTGTCTGGATTCAAAGGTAACAATCAGGATTCGGAAGTGTCCTTTTCATCATCACTACAGCCTTAAACACAGGGTGTGAAAAGAGCAGGCCCTTCTCCCGCTGGCCCAGGGGCTAAGGAAGGAGTTGCCCTAGCGGGTGGGCTCCTAGACCCTTTTGTCTTTCTTGCTGCCTCTGCCTCCCAAGTGTGTCCCGTTGCTGGCTGTACTTCCTGACCCAGTGGGGCTCTGAAGGGTTGTGCTTTCTCTGCAGCTTGTGTTGGCACAGCCATCCCAAAACAGACGTCCAGAGCTTTAAATGGCCCAAATCCCCATGTGCTGGAGCCAGATTACAGCTACTCACATCTAGATCTCAGCCCTGGTCCTGGTTACTTTGCCCAAAAATGAATCGTGCTGGGTCCAGCCTGGGCAGGGTTTTAAAAGGGTGGATGTGACAAGGAACAAAAGAGTTGGGAGAGCCTGGATCTAACTTGTGCTGACTGTGGAGCTAGACTTGTCAGAGCCTGCTGACAGCGGCAGCCGCAGCTGGGCTGGGTGTGAAGTCTGCTCCAGCTCTCCTGTGACTTCCCGTGTGAAACTCCACTCAACTGATGAGCCCTGGGTGGATATTTGTGGTCTTGGACTCAGCTGTAGAAGCAACAGTTGCTGCCATTTATTGAGCAATTACCACATCTACATTTTAAAAATGCTGTGGGGATAATAGGACACAAAATACTGAGGACCCTACAGAATTGCAGTCTGGGTTCTTTCCTCATTATATTTGTCTAGCATTTGTTTTTGAAATTGTCATGGAGCTGAGGACCATGTAGGCAAGGAGGCAATTCCATAACCTTGATCAGCGATTGCTACCCTTTGCTTGAAGACTTGTAGTGAAGGGTAACTGTGTTGATCCTCTTCAGGCAGATTCCTCAAGTCTTGTCCTATATATGCATCTCTGTTACAGACACCACACATACACCACTGTGAGCTCCTGGAGGGTAGGATGAGGGACTTCCTTATCTCCCTGTCTCCCCCCAGTGCCCAGCTGGATGTCTGGCCCAGAGCAGGGGCTTGATAAATGTTGGGTGGTTAAATAAAGTCCTAGTCTTGACTGCCATCTCACCAAGCCCAGAAGATACTTTGTCTTTTAATCTCTTTACCTTCAGGGCCAAATTCAATGCCTAGCACATATCTGATGTTCAATAATGTTAGAAAAACAAACTCAAAATACCATCCTTTGAAATTTTTTTTTTCTTTAGCTAAATACTGTTTCCATCCCCCTCCCCTCCCCATGACTTCTGTTTTATCTATTCACTAAAACATAGTATCCTGAATGCCTGCTTTGTTCCCAAGGCTCATTTAGGTGCTCTGCCTATGCAAGTGAGTGAAAGAGGCAAAGTCCTTGCCCTTTTGAAATTTATAGCTGAGCAGTAGAACAGTGTCTGGTCAAAAGTGTTAACAGCTATTATCATCATCATCATCATCATCTTATTTTTTTCCTGTAACTATGAGACTTCTCTGCCACTCATCAATTTAGCAAACATGTCCTTTCTCTGTTGCACTATTTTTTTTTAAAGTTTTCTGTGAGTATTTTTCTTTATTAGGAACCCAAGTTCTGTTCTTCCCTTGTTTCAGCCCCTGTACATGGTCACTTGCTCTGAGCCTTGGGACTGTTGGTCTTTAGCTAGAGGACATCGTGGCTGTCCTTGGATTACAGCAACAAAGCCAACCTTTCACTTACCACCCTTCTTTCTCTCTCTTTTACTTTTTCAGGGACATGGACTTCATATGGACAAGTTGTCTGCTTTTCTGAGTCTTTCAAACTGCTGCTTCGTAGTCACTGGGACAGCCCTGGTTTCTCCTGGAATGATCATTGAAGGCAGCTTAAATGGGTTAGTTAAAGCTCGGCTGGCTCTCAGTTGTTCCGTCTTGGAGCTGGGAACCGGGAAGACAGAACAGCCCTCTCCTTGCCAAATCGGGCTGGGGGACATCTCCCCGGAGATGGCAGTCACCAAGCACTGTACCACCCCACTCCTTCCTCTTAACAGGTTTCTTCTAACTCCTTAGCACTTGTGAATTCCCCTGACAGTCATGGTTTTCAGGATGTGATTTGACCTAACATACCCTACAATATCCAGGCATATTATGTAGAATTTTGTCATACAGTACAGAGATAGAATAGGATGTACAGAATTAATTTTGTTGACAAAATACTTAGGGTCTTCCA